AATGTGACATATTTAAATAAATAAAATGTTTAGAAAGAAAGTCGGCCAGAAAAATATAAATTAAAAATAACAGCAGCTACAATGTACCAAGTACCTACCATGTGACAAGCATTTTACATAAATAACTCACTTGTGCCATGGCAATCTTACAAGAGCCATATTTTGGTGTTATCACCTCGATTTCACAAAAAAGGAAACTGAAGCTCAGGGAGATGATGTAAACTCCCAAAGTCACACAGCTGGTAGACCCAGAACTCAAACCCTAGTCTGAGTCATATTTCTCTGATGCCTGTCAACCCACTCTTGCCTTTTCCTATCCTTACCAGCAATGTCGATGGTTGACCTCTACGAGCAGCACCTCAATCCTAGATCCTTTCTAATGCTTATGAGGTTGATAAATTTAAAAATAAATTCATTCTATGAGGAAGAGACCTATTCTCTTCCTAGTTTTTAAGCTCAGATCTTTATTAATAGTACCCGGTCAGGCCAAAATACATCAGATCAACTGACAGTTTAAAACAGAAGAGAACCCATGTGTATATGGACCAAAGGCATACAATAAGAATGTTCTAAAAGCTTATCATGGAGTACAGTCCCAGGGAAGAGAGGGAAGGAGAGCAAGGCATGAGGTGTCAGATTATGTCCACATAAGGTTGACTAGGGTCCAGTTTGAGTTGGCAACAGGCAGGGTTGAAAAGTGATCAAAGGCTCTGGGGAGAGTGAGGCCAAGAGGATCTGAAGTGGCACATAAGAGGTGTCTGATATGGGGGACAGAGATGAAATCAGGGTCAGGAAACTTCAGTGAAGCTTATGGAAATGGCAAGGCACAAAATCTTAGTTCAGTGCCAAGATACAACTTCATTTTAACCAGTCTGTCCCAATATCCTACTTTTAAGCATCCTTCCTGATGAAATGGACAAAGGTGACCATTAGGTTCAGTCTTTCAGAGAAAAGATTTTCACACAATAGCTTTTTCTTGTACTACTTATATAACTTAATTAGAATGACTAATGCAAAATAATGCCAAAGATGTATACAATGTCTGGTCCCTCCCATTATATTGCAGTTTCCAGTCCCCAAAGAGGATAGCACATTGCAAGGATGATGATGCCTGGATGAGTGACTAAGTGGGAGTAATAACTGAACACCCAAAGATTTTGCTTACACATAGGGTTTCAGTTGTGGCAACACTTTATGAGAATAAAATTGAGAAAGGAAGTTTATTTGCTATATATGACTAAAACACCAAGTCACCAATTTTCTACACAGAGGAATATGTAAATCAAACAAAATAATTAAGTACAATAATAAAACAGCAGCTACTATGCACACATTCTTATGGTTTTCATTTCATAGGGTAAAATTTATTTCTTAAAAAGACTTGATAATTTTGGAAATGCTTATACCATATGAAAAACAAAAAGGAAAAGGTTTACCTTAATGGAAAATTAGATATATGTATTATTGCTATAAAAATCCCAGTTTGCAAAATAAAGAACTCTAATCAAAACTGCTTATGTATTGCCCTGGCCGGTATGGATCAGTTGGTTGAATGTCATCCTGTATACCGGAAGGTCACCAGTTTGATTCCCAGGGCACAAGCCCAGGTTGTGGGTTCAGTCCCCAGTTGGGGTGTGGGTGTTTGGGAGGCAACCAATTGATGTTTCTCTAACATCGATGTTTCTCTCTCTCCCCCTTCCTCTCTCTCTCAAATCAATAAGAACTTTTTTTTTAATTACAAAAAAAGAATAATTCAGGAGGATTCAAATCCTAACCCAAAGAGATCTAAAAATATAGCTGGAGACAAGACAGGTATTTGCAAAAACAGAATAAAACGATGCATGTGTCAGGACTATATGTCCTGTCCTACTTGGACAGCTGCCCAAATGAACAGACCTGGGAATTCCCCTGCCCTGGTTACAGCTGTTGGGAATTTCTCTCCATCCTGTCTCTCTCTCTTTCTAACTCACCACAGCAAAAGCAAAAGACATGCTCCTCTCCACCCATATCTTCCTTTACTCCACATCATAGCAACTGGTCGACTGATTGTCTGCCCCCCTGGTGGTCAGTGCACGTCATAGCGAGCAGTTGAGCAGCCTTAGCATATCATTAGCATATTATGCTTTGATTGGTTGAATGGCCGACTGGCCGACCAGACACTTAGCATATTAGGCTTTTATTATATAGGTCTAGAGGCCCAGTGCATGAAATTCAGTGAAGGGTTGCTCAGCCTGGCCTGCACTCTCTCGCAATCCAGCAAACCGCTGGCCTATCTGCCTGCTTGATTGCCTCTAACCACCCTGCCTGCCTGCCTCATCACCACTAACCACTTGCCTGCCTGCCTGATCATCCCTAACTGCTCGCCTGCCTGCCTGATTACTCCTAACTGCTCGCCTTTCTGCCTCATCGCCCCTAACCACTCTGCCTGCCTGCCTCATCGCCCCTAACTGCTCGCCTGGGGCTTCATCCAGAAGGATGTCCAGAATGATGCCCGGAAGGTTGTTCAGCTGTCCGATCTAATTAGCATATTATGCTTTTATTATTATAAATGATAGTTGACATAGAATGTTATACGAGTTTCAGTGATTAGACATTTATATAACTTATGAAGTGGTCACCCCGATAAGTCTACTACCCATCATGCACCATAATTAATTCAATATTTTTTACTATATTCCTTATGATGTACTTTATATCCCCATGACTATTTTTATAGCTGGCAATTTGTACTTCTTAATTCCTTTTACCTCTTTGCCCATCTTGCTCACCCCCCTCCCATCTGGAGACCATCAGTTTGTTCTTTGTATTAATGAATAACAAACTTAACTAGGCTTCAAAATCCTAAACTACTAATTTGAAAAGAAATCATTTTTCATTTTAGCTAAATATCACTCTCATAGAAAAATGGACAATGCTTAAAATTAAACAATAGAATCATTTCAAAGCTGTGTCTGCAAAAATCTAATCTTACAAAGTCCACAAAAGAATAATTCCACTTTTCTTTTTACTTTTCAGTTTTGTTTTTGCTTTATTTTTTGTTTTTCTAATCTATACTAATGAAAGAGTAATATGCTAATTAGACCGGATAGACCAGACATCTTCTGGGCATCCTTCCAGACAAAACCACGATGGCAGGGGCCAAGGCAGAGGCAGTTAGGGGTGATCAGGCCAGCAGGGGAGCAGTTAGGGACATCAGACAAGCAGGCAGAGTGGTTAGGGGCGATCAGGCAGACAGGCAGGTGAGCAGTAAGGAGCCAGCGGTCCCGGATTGTGAGAGGGATCCCGGATTGGAAAGGGTGCAGGCCAGGCTGAGGGCCCCGCACCATGCAAGAATTTCGTGCACCAGACCTCTAGTATGTTTATAAACACTGTGTGCTAAACTAATTTAACCACAACTTAATAGAACTAAGAATGAATAAAGACTATCCTAACTCTTAGCTTAATACTTGGCCAAGACTTGTTCAACTGTTGAACGGATCATAAAGGTTCCTAACGCACTGTGATACAGTAACTTTTTTGGATTGGATTGGTTTCTCATCTCATAATTCTGTATGGAATACTGCTACCTTCCTTTTTAAAACAGAAGGCTACATTCTAATACAATATTTGGTTTATATTAGCACCAACTCCTACCCTAGTGATGGAGACAAAGAGCCCTAAAAATAACTATTGCCAAAGACAAATTTTTAAATCTCAATAGTGGGACTTGGTAGTTTCACCTAAACTTTATTTGTAATTAAATCTTATCTAGTATATCATATACTATCTGATAATTTTATGCTGAATCCAGAATTCTGGGGAAATTTAAAGCATTTAAATGCTATGATCTATAACTTGCTTAATCTAGTAACTAACTATACACACATAATCCTGATCCTCATTATATCAAATGCTAGTATCCAAGTCATATTTCTGGCACAGTGACAGAGACTCTCTTTTCTGGTATTAAAAAAAGGTTATTCCTTCTTATTGCTATACCAATAAAAGCAATAAAAACATGAGATGCTTATACTATATTCAATGTCAATGTTAAAATATAATAAATTCTATTCTAACAGACTAATTTTTGTTTAGACAGTTTTACTAATCAGCTATAAAACATTCATATTAACAATTTACTAGCCTTTGCTGGTAAAACTTCAAAAAATCTGAATTTATTGCTATTTGATTACCTGCTACTGTTAAACTATGCAATGATATAAATCCAACCATATACTAGTGTGTGTGTGTGTGTGTATACATATATGTATATGTATATACATACATATATATATTTATATATATATAAATATATATATATATGCTATTATGAGTCTCCCTGATTCATTTTCACAGCTATATTTAAAAGTAGTAAAAGAAAGCCCGGCTGGTATGTCTGAGAGGCTGTGTCAACCTATGGACCAGGAGGTCATGGTTCAATTTCTGGTTCGGGCACATATGCCTGATTTACAGGCTTGTTCCCCAGTGGGAGGCGTGCAGGAGGTAGCCGATCAATAATTCTCTCTCATCATTGGTATTTCTAAATCTCTCTACTCTCCCTTCCTCTCTGAAATAAAAAATATATATTTTTAAAAGTAGTAAATTATTTGTACACTCAATGGTCATGGTAATCTTTTAAGCGTAATCATCTAAAGTTTCTGAGTACATTGACCAGTGCTCTCCCCACTTTACTTTGACATAATCAGGGTGGACAGGCTTCCCTAGGAAGAGCCTCTTTATGAAATTAAAGCATACCACATATTATTCTCCAGAGAAGTAAATTCTATTTGGGAAGAATTATGAGTCTCACTCAAGTCATTTCACAGCAAAGAGAACAAACAAGTCTATTGTATATACCATAATTACATTTTGCATGACTTCCTTCAATTAAAATCTTTACCTAAATTAGCATCCGTATAGCAGTAGAGAAATTTTAAATGTCATTATCTAATATGACCCAAAGATGCCTTCCACTAATAAGAAATTAGTCTAAAAAAGACTTCATATATTTCTTCTTCTCTTTCTGTTGGAAGATAAGTAGGTCTTGAATTTATTTTGAAAACAAGACCTGTTCTATCCACCTTTTAATTTAGAAGGCTAAAAGCAGCTTTCATATATTTCAAAGCAATTATTGGAGTAATGCCCTCCCCTCAGTAGCAGTACTCAGTACCTTTATAAGAAAAATGTATATGCATGGTTCAACCTCACTTAATTCTGCATATATATATGTGAATATATGAATAAATATATACATATATACACTTGAATGGATATATACAGAAATTAGAGTACTCTGAACCTCCAAAAAAAGGTTTGATCATGTTAGGCATTCATTAAATACCTAATAATCTTGACTAAACTGATGTCTAGTAAATAATCAGAAGGAATAAAAATATTTGTAATGATTTTACTAACAGTGCTAGTTGAGATCCACATCTCAGACATTCTTCTCACTAGAATGGCAGTTATAATCTTCACTTTATCAATTAATCACTAGATTAAATATAACCAAATGGGAAGGAGAGGAAAGAACCATATTATTACTATAAAACCTGAAAATCTCTGCATAACTATGCCATTTATGGCTTATTCTGTCCATGTTGGAGACTCTAACACATACCAAAGAACAGGCCATTTCACAAAATACTACAGAAATCAGTGTTCAGGTTCATTAAGATCTTGAAGTCTAACCCTCCAAATGCTTTCTACTTCAAAAAATTCTGGTCTTAAAATCTTACACTTGGTGGGGCAAGATAATAAGAAAAGAATTATAAGAGAAAGCAAGTTAATGTATTAATGGTTATAGTGTTAACACACACACGATAGAAAACAAGGGTAAAAAAGAAAATGAACTAACTGACCAATGGATTGAAAAGCGCACTTTATACTGAGGATTTCTTTCAGTATAAAGAAATAAGGTTTCAGTTCTAGTGTTAAAGCATGATTACTTCTGAACAGGGTCACTGATCCAGTCTCTTCAAAGAGTTGACACTAAAACAATTATCACTGCTACTCTTGCTTGGTATATACCAAAAATAACAGATTAGAAGGGAAAAAGGTTTGTTTTGTTTGGGTCTTTTAAGAGAAAAAAAGGAGGAACAGGTTATTTGATGAAATACCAACTTTTACCTTTCCTCCCATAATAAATTTGAATATTATTTTTGGTTCCTTTCAATACAATTTGTTTTGCCTTTAAAAATCAGGTATTGGCCCTAGCTGGGTAGCTCAGCTGACTAGCATGTCAGATATGCCAAGGTTGGAGCTCTATCCCTGGTTAAGGCACATACAAGAATTGCATAAATAAGTGGAACAACAAATCAATGTTTCTTCCTTTCTCTCTTTCTTTCTCCCTTCCTCTCTCTTTAAAATCAATACATTAATTAAAAAGTTTATTTTAAAAAGCAGGCATTATATTTTGACCACTCAATCTTTTTTGAGTCACATATCTAATCTGATATTTTACTAGAAAAAGGCATCCATGTACACATATTGTACAATTTGCAAATATATATATGAAAATGCAAAGAAATTCAAGGGAGCCCCAGCTGGTTGGCTCAGTGGATAGAGCGTAAGCCTGCAGACTGAAAGGTTCTGTGTTCGATTCCAGTCAAGGGCACATGCCTGGGTTGTGGGCTCCATCCCCAATAGGGGGCATGCAGGAGGCAGCCAATCAATGATTGTCTCTCTCCCTCTCCCTTCCTCTCTGAAATCAATAAAAATATATATATTTTTAAAAATCGCCGAACCAGTTTGGCTCAGCGGATCAGTGGCTAGAGCGTCGGCCTGCGGACTGAAGGGTCCCAGGTTCGATTTCGGTCAAGGGCATGTACCTTGGTTGCGGGCACATCCCCACTGGGGGGCGTGCAGGAGGCAGCTGATTAATGTTTCTCTCTCATCGATGTTTATAACTCTCTATCCCTCTCCCTTCTTCTCTGTGGAAAATCAATAAAATATATTTTAAAAAAATAAAAATAACAATAATAATAATAATAATAAAGAAATTCAAAGGAAAGGTAAAAAATTCAGCTAAGTGGTTAACTACGGTAGAGAGGAAAGGGGTTAAAACTGAAAGACAGTTCACAGAAGGCTTACATTATATTGGTAATGATTTATGAAAATGAGTGATAGGTACATAAAAGTATTTTATTCTTTAAACCTTTGGGAATATTATAGTGTTAAAATTTTGCTCATTTTTTAAACACCTTATAAGAAATACTGTTCAATAGAAAAGTATAATAGAACCTGCGGTTCCAAATCAGTAGCCTAGGATTGAATCTGGCCAAGACCTGTTTTGTTTGGACAGCACAATGTTTTGTTTTGCTTTTTAGCTGTAATTTGAATGCATTCTTCAATTAACCCGAATCATCACCATTTTCCTTACAGTCAATGAGTTCTTTAAAAGCAAAAGAAATTCGCCAAAGCCGGTTTGGCTCAGTGGATAGAGCGTCGGCCTGCGGACTGAAGGGTCCCAGGTTCGATTCCGGTCGGGGCATGTACCTGGGTTGCGGGCACATCCCCAGTAAGAGATGTGCAGGAGGCAGCTGATCGATGTTTCTCTCTCATCGATGTTTCTAACTCTCTATCTCTCTCCCTTCCTCTCTATAAAAAATCAATAAAATATATTTTAAAAAAATAAAATAAAAAATAAAAATAAAAGCAAAAGAAATTGGAATCCTCATACAATGATAGTGAAAATATAAAATGGTGCAGCTGCTTTGGAAAGCAAGTTGGCAGTTACTCAAAATGTTAAGCATAGAGTTACCATATGACACAGCAATTCCACTCCTAGATACCTACCTAACAGAAAAGAAAATGTGCACACAAAGACTCTTACACAAATGTTCACAGCAGCATTATTCCTAATAGTCAAAAAGTGGAAACCACCCAAATATCCATCAACTGAGGAAAATATAATACAATGAAACATTCCACCATAAAAAAGAATGTACTGATAAATGCTACAACAAAAATAAACCTCAAAAACACTATTCTAAGTAAAAGAAGCCAATTACAGAAGGCCACAAATTATATAATTTCATTTATATGAAATGTCCAGAATAGGCAAATCTCAAATCTATAGAGACAGAAAGTAGATTAATAGGGTGATTAAAATGTCATAAAATTAGATAATGGTGTTGGTTGCACAACTCAGTAAATACATGTCTGTCAACCTGTGGTTGTTAGGCAATTCAACGCCAACAGGAATCCCCAATTTGGGGCGCGGTAAAGGAGACTTTATGCAGTATAAACAGCTCAATAATGTTGCATTTCAATTATGAAACAGCACAGCGGTGGAAAGCATGGCTGTGAGGTGACCCTCAGGATGAGGTGGCTCTCAACCCCTCTCTGGGTAGACAGTTCTGCTCTGCCTCTCCTAAGTCTGGTCTGGTGTGCCAAGATGACTCCACTCCACTCCACTCTGCTGAGCTGAGACATCTTTGGTTTCAGCTCAAGGTAGGAAAAATGCAGTTGTAGTTGGAAAAGGAAAGTGTGCTCCCCTGAGCCAGAAGGGAGTTGACTTAGAGAAAGCAGCCCCTGGCCCTGGCCCCTGATTAATCTATTGTCATGCAAATGAGGGTTCCAAATCCTCAGTTTGATTTGTCCAAAAAGCACTGTCCTGCTTGGTCAAAATGGAGCTGCTCTAATTGGTCGGTGAAGATGCTACTGAGGATATAGCCACACAGCTCCAATTAGACAGGGAAAGTCTCAGCCCTATTGGTTGAAATACATTCCAGGAACTCCTTTATATGGGTTTGCTCACTGGGCAGAAACACAGTGCAGGAAGGCAGGCAGTTTCGTGCAGACTTCTCCCTAAAGAACAGCTTGCTGAGAGGCCCTGTTCAGCAATAGCTGCCAGGCTCTAGTTTTTGTTTTTGTTTTTAATTTCAGCCCAATTAGCACCAGGAGCCCTTCTCAACAGGTATTTTCTTTGTCAGGGTCAACATTAAAAAAACCACTGAACTGCCGAAACCGGTTTGGCTCAGTGGATAGAGTGTCGGCCTGTGGACTGAAGGGTCCCGGGTTCGATTCCGGTCAAGGGCATGTACCTGGGTTGTGGGCACTTCCCCAGTGGGGGATGTGCAGGAGGCAGCTGATCGATGTTTCTCTCTCATCGATGTTTCTGACTCTCTATCTCTCTCCCTTCCTCTCTGTAAAAAATCAATAAAATATATTTAAAAAAAAAAAAAAAAAAAAAACCACTGAACTGCTTTTTACTTTAAAGGAATGAATTATATGGTATGTATATTACCCTATCTAATAAAAGAGAAACATGGTAATGAGTGTACGTCCGCTACCCTTCCCATCGGCTAATCAGGGCAATATGCAAATTAACTGCCAGCCAAGATGGCGGCCGGCAGCCAGGCAGCTTGAAGCAAACACGAGACTTGCTTGCTTCAGTGACGGAGGACTCCAACGTTCCCCGCCTGCCTTGCCGGGCTCTGAGCTTGCAGTTTTAGAAACATTGTTACAAATATAGAAGCTAAACAAAACCCCAGAAACCTGCTTTCAGCCTGCCGGGATCTCAGAGCTGGAGTTGATACAGTGTTTCGACTATAGAACCCAAACAAACCAGATACCTGCTTTCAGCAGCAGAGGCCTCAGAGCAGGAGCCAGAGCTAAAGTTGGCCCAGAATAAAAAAAAAAAAAAAGAAAACAAGGAGCGGTTGGGAGCGTCAGTCACCCGCCAGCCTGAAAACAGCCCTCAGCCCCTCACCCAGACTGGCCAGGCACCCCAGTGGGGACCCCCACCCTGATCCAGGACACCCTTCAGGGCAAACCAGCTGGCCCCCACCCATGCACCAGGCTCTATCCTATATAGTAAAAGGGCAATATGCCTCCCGGCACCAGGATCAGCGTGACAGGGGGCAGCACCCAAACCCCCTGATTGCCCTGCAGCTCTGTGTGTGACAGGGGGCGGGGCCACAACCTCCCTATCTGCCATGCTCTGTTTGTGACAAGGGAAGGCGCCCCAACCCCCTGATCAGCCCTGCTCTGTGCCTGATAGGGGGGAGCTCCCCAACCCCCTGATCAGCCCTGCTCTGTGTGTGACAGGGGGCGGCACCTCAACCACCCCCCCCCCCCCGAGCCCTGCTCTGTGTGTGACAGGGTAGAGCCATAACCTCCCCATCAGCCCTGCCCTGAGTGTGA